TCAAATCCCGCCCGTGGTATGGTTTATTTATATGTGGCATGGTTATTTACCAGTCCAACGTTTAGAACTTTGCATTTGTCAATATTAAACTGCATCTGCCACTTCTCCAACCATTGCATCAGTCTATTCAAATCATCCTGGAGTGCTCTAATGTCCTCATTAGAATGAATTGGACGGCCTATTTTGGTGTCATCAGCAAATTTGCTTATGTCGCTATTTATTCCCCCATCTATGTCGTTTATGTAAATTGTGAACAACAACGGGCCCAACACTGACCCCTGAGGAACACCACTGCGACGTGCCCCCATTCTGATTTCTCCCCATTTATGCAAACTCTCTGCTGCCTATTTGTCAGCAATGCCTCTACCCAGGAAAAAAATTCTCCTCCTATTCCGTGTGCCTTAAGTTTCCTCAATAGCCTCTGGTGTGGAACTCTATCGAAAGCCTTACTGAAGTCCATATACACAATATCATATTCATTACCATGATCTACCTCCTCAAACACCTTAGTGAAAAAAGTTAGTAAATTCGTAAGACACGAACGCCCCTTTGTAAAACCGTGTTGAGATTCATTAATCAATCTGTATCTATCAAGATGGCTACGAATTGCTTCGGCAATTATTGATTCCATAAATTTTCCCACTATGGAGGTAAGGCTTATTGGTCTGTAGTTCGAAGCCAAGGACCTGTCACCTGCCTTGTAAATAGGTATTACATTTGCCATTTTCCACTTATCAGGCACTATGCCAGTTTGTAGTGATATGTTAAAAAGATTAGCCAAAGGTATGCTAAGTTCCTCTTTACATTCCTTTAACACCCTTGCAAACAGTTCATCAGGACCTGGGGTTTGTTAGGTTTTAGTTTCTCTATTTGTCTGAGGACCATGTCACTAGTTACCATAATCGTGCATAGTTTATTATCATCCTGTTCTACATAATCTATTATTTCAGGAATATTGCTAGTATTTTCCTGGGTGAAAACCGAGAGGAAGTAGGTATTGAGAATTTCACACATATCCTTATCACTGTCAGTGATCTGACCAGAGTTACTCTTAAGTGGGCCAATCTTGTCCCTAATCTTACTTCTGTATACCTGAAAGAACCCTATTGGGTTAGTCTTTGAATCCCTTGCAACCTTAGCCTCATATTCCCTTTTTGCTTTTCTTATTCCTTTCTTTATTTCTCTCTTTAACTGAATATATTGATTTCTTAACTGCCTATCCCCTCTTTTGATACGCCTATATATGCCTCTCTTTTGACCAATGAGGTGTTTTAATCTATTGTTCATCCATTTGGGATCATTTTTGCTAGATCTAATTTCCCTACTTGAAACAAAAGTTGTCTGGGCAGCTAGAACTATGCTCTGAAAAACGTCATATTGGCATCCAAGATCACCTACCTGACCCATAGTCAGGACATCCCAATTTAGCCCACCCAGGTAATTTTTCAGTCCCATGAAGTCGGCCAAGAGAAAATCTGGGACAGAGATTTGATTGCAGTTATCTGGGTAATTCCATGATATATTGAAACTAAGTGATTTGTGATCACTTTCCCCAAGCTCATCATTAACCTCAAGATTATTAATTAGTGAATCTTTGTTGGTAAGAACCAAGTCAAGCAGATTGTTTCTTCTAGTTAGTAGTTCTGTCACAACCTGTTATAAAAAGCAATCCTGAACCGTATCAAGAAAGTCACTAGACTCAAGATTTCCTGTCATATTGTTCCAATCAATTTGTCTAAAGTTAAAATCTCCCATTATCACAACATTTTCATGTCTAGATGCCTTATGAATTTCGTCCCATAACAGCTTACTGCCCTCCCTATCAAGGTTTGGAGGCCTATAAATCACACCCAAAATTAATTTGTCACGTCCCTCGAGAAACTGTAGCCAAACAGATTCTGTGTTCGATGTTTCTAATCTTATAACATGTCTAAGACAACAATTTAAATTTTCTCTGACGTACATCGTCACTCCACCACCCTTCCTGTTGACCCTATCATTTCTCTATCTTTCAGGTTGAACCAGGTCTCTGTTATACCAATAAAATCTATATTACCTACACTTGCAAGTAATCTTAGCTCATCTATCTTATTTCTTAGACTCCTACTATTTGTATAGTATACGTTAAGAGAGCTAGTCACTCGTTGCCCTCTACTATCTCTCTTTGTTTGTTGATCAATTAATTTGCCATTACTTGCAATTTTGAATATTGTCTTTTAAACATATCCCTGAGGTATCCCAGTAATAACTGCTGTTTTTAACCCTAATGCTGTAACCTGATTGTTTCCCACAAACACCCATATCTCTACAATCTATCAGTTTAAATTCCTAGACAAGTCATCAATAACCCTCTCAATCGAATTGGCTAATGCAACCACTCCATCCCCAGAGAGATGAACCCCATCCCTTGCATACATATCACGTTTGCCAAAGAATAGATCCCAGTTATTAATGAATGGGATTGCAAGTTCCTTGCAGTACCTGTCTAGCCAGCAATTTATACCAATTGCCCGAGACATCCATTCATTGCCCACTCCCTTTCTAGGCAAGATGCTACATATGACTGGGATCCCTCCCTTAGACCTAACTACTTCTATGGCTGACCTGTACTCATCCAGCAGCTCCTCTCTCCTGCCCTTCCCAATGTCATTACCCCCAGCACTAAGACAGATAATGGGCTTGTTCCCATTACCTGCCATAATATTATCCAACCTGCTGACTATGTCACCAACACCAGCTCCAGGAAGACACACTCTCTATCTGACCTTTCTGTCTCTGTTACAAAATGCACGGTCCACATATCTTACCTGAGAATCGCCTACTATTAAAATATTCTTACCCTGATTAGCAGGGGAATCAGTGGTACCTTTAACCTCACTAACCACTAAAGTACACTTGTCTTGGGAAACAGAGAATCGATTTCCTACCTTCACATCTTCCCTATTAACTCTCCTCATCTTCCTTCTTCCTGAACTGTGAACCACTTGCCACTTAAAGCGGCTGCCACTATCACTGCTGGTGACCATTTCCTCCTTACCAGCTAAATCCTTTTCATACTCCCAAACTCATCTATGCGAAGCTTCAGCCTCCTGTTTTCCTCCTGAAGAAGTAGAATCTCCTTCAACACTTGAACCTGAGATTCTAAAACACTACAACAAGCCATGGTGCTTGGTAACAGCCCACGCTAACTCCCACTGACCTCAGCGTACTGTCATATACGTTGTCATATACGCAGTCATATACGCAATTATATACACAGTCATATACAGGCATATACACAGTCATATACACAGTCATATACACAGCCATATACGCAGATATATACGCAGGGGAATGTAGACAGGGATGGGGTCTTGCTGCCGGTGTTGGGCTCTTGATTCCTTTTTCCTGAACCTGACTGCTGTCCATTCCACTAGAAGCTGTATCACCTCTTCAGGTTTAGCGCTTCCTCATAATGGTAATAGAAATAAATAATAATAATATTAATTACTTTTCTGTGATTTTTTTTAAATCGTGAATTACAATAATATGGCGATAGTCTCTAGTGGACGACCCTCGGTCAGATGACCAAAAACTGGAGTGATGGGTCATTATCTAAGACGTGAGTCAGGAAATACTTGTCCTGTTTCCTGACGACACTAACCTAAGCTACGTTTTTATCCTGGAAGGAATGGAGAATACTTCAGTTTTTGTTTTAAGGCTGAAAAGGCGCGTGAGTTACTGTCTCCTAATTACATATTTATTTTTCCACTATAATCTACCTTGTCCATAATTATTATCGTATTCGCTCAGTCTGCTTTCGTAAGGTGAAGTCCAGGATCTTTCCTTAATTCATGATATAACTTAACAAATCTTTGAGGATAATTGTGTTGTAGAAGTCTGAGGTCTGCTGACACCTCTACCTCGACTTTTGTACCTAAGTGAACACACTATGGTATTATTCTCTCTACATGAGTCATCATGAAGGTAACAAGTTACTGGGTTGATTGGAAGGATAAACATCCTGAATATACAATACCGGAGCACAATACATTAACAGTAATATACAATACCGGAGCACAATACATTAACAGTAATATACAATACCGGAGCACAATACATTAACAGTAATATACAATACTGGAGCACAATACATTAACAGTAATATACAATACTGGAGCACAATACATTAACAGTAATATACAATACTGGAGCACAATACATTAACAGTAATATACAATACTGGAGCACAATACATTAACAGTAATATACAATACTGGAGCACAATACATTAACAGTAATATACAATACTGGAGCACAATACATTAACAGTAATATACAATACTGGAGCACAATACATTAACAGTAATATACAATACTGGAGCACAATACATTAACAGTAATATACAATACTGGAGCACAATACATTAACAGTAATATACAATACTGGAGCACAATACATTAACAGTAATATACAATACTGGAGCACAATACATTAACAGTAATATACAATACTGGAGCACAATACATTAACTGTAATATACAATACTGGAGCACAATACATTAACAGTAATATACAATACTGGAGCACAATACATTAACAGTAATATACAATACTGGAGCACAATACATTAACAGTAATATACAATACTGGAGCACAATACATTAACAGTAATATACAATACTGGAGCACAATACATTAACAGTAATATACAATACTGGAGCACAATACATTAACAGTAATATACAATACTGGAGCACAATACATTAACAGTAATATACAATACTGGAGCACAATACATTAACAGTAATATACAATACTGGAGCACAATACATTAACAGTAATATACAATACTGGAGCACAATACATTAACAGTAATATACAATACTGGAGCACAATACATTAACAGTAATATACAATACCGGAGCACAATACATTAACAGTAATATAAATTAAAATAAACATTTAACGTGATCAACATAAATAATAACATTAAGTTTCTTCTAGCATCATAAAACATAAAAACATTACACATATATTAAGAAAAAACCGCTGCAAACCTCACTAAACCATCGAAATCTGAGGCAAACAGATTTATATTATTTTGAAGTGGTTAGCGACCGTGACTGAAGGTCACTGACCGTGACTGAAGGTCACTGACCGTGACTGAAGGTCACTGACCGTGACTGAAGGTCACTGACCGTGACTGAAGGTCACTGACCGTGACTGAAGGTCACTAGCCATGTAATACAAACAACTGTGACCAAAGGGACCTCTCAGTCACTGGAGTAGTGCCTCCACCCAACAAAAACTATGTTTTAAGTGAACACTGCCCTGGCTTCATGAACTTTGTTAGCAGCAACAGTCAGCGTTTACCACCATGGTTCCAGTTTTCTTCCTCATCTACATCTGGCTACTGAGGAACATGGAAGCTGCTACGCTGGAATCTATAAACAGTAAGTCAGACTCACCATTAAACATTTCCTCTCCAATTTACGGATTAGTTGTGGTTTTATTCACTCCGTTTTATGGACTTTTATTTGTTACACGTTGACCACCATGTAACTGCTTAATTCCTTCTTTTGTTTATTGCATATAAAAAATATTCAATTTTGAATTATTTTTATTTTATTTACAAACTCAAGAAGCAGCAGCAGTAACGCTGGGAACAGCAGCAGTAACAATAGAAACAGCAGCAGTAACAATAGAAACAGCAGCAGTAACAATAGAAACAGCAGCAGTAACACCAGCAACAGCAGCAGTAACACCAGCAACACAGCATAACACAGCAACAGCAGCAGTAACACGCAACAGCAGCAGTAACCCCAGCAACAGCAGCAGTAACACCAGCAACAGCAGCAGTAACACCAGCAACAGCAGCAGTAACACCAGCAACAGCAGCAGTAACACCAGCAACAGCAGCAGTAACACCAGCAACAGCAGCAGTAACACCAGCAACAGCAGCAGTAACACCAGCAACAGCAGCAGTAACACCAGCAACAGCAGCAGTAACACCAGCAACAGCAGCAGTAACACCAGCAACAGCAGCAGTAACACCAGCAACAGCAGCAGTAACACCAGCAACAGCAGCAGTAACACCAGCAACAGCAGAAGCGGCAACAGCATTACCATTATAATTTCATTCAATATCTAAACCGTAAATAATTCTAATTCTGCTTGGTACTTTGTAATACAAACTGTTAAGTATAATACACACGACTTAGGCTCCAAAATTAACAACTGGATCTCATAGGTCAGGAATTTTACATCTCCAAGATACAACAGTTCATCGTTCTAACACATTATCCTTCTAACAGTTCATCGTTCTAAAAGTTCATCGTTCTAAAAGTTCATCGTTCTAACAGTTCATCGTTCTAAAAGTTCATCGTTCTAACAGTTCATCGTTCTAACACATTATCGTTCTAACAGTTCATCGTTCTAACAGTTCATCGTTCTAACAGTTCATCGTTCTAACAGTTCATCGTTCTAACACATACGTTCTAAACAGTTCATCGTTCTAACAGTTCATCGTTCTAACAGTTCATCGTTCTAACAGTTCATCGTTCTAAAAGTTCATCGTTCTAACAGTTCATCGTTCTAACACATTATCGTTCTAACAGTTCATCGTTCTAACAGTTCATCGTTCTAACAGTTCATCGTTCTAACAGTTCATCGTTCTAACAGTTCATCGTTCTAACAGTTCATCGTTCTAACACATTATCGTTCTAAACAGTTCACGTTCTAACAGTTCATCAGTTCTAACAGTTCATCGTTCTAAAGTTCATCGTTCTAACAGTTCATCGTTCTAACACATTATCGTTCTAACAGTTCATCGTTCTAACAGTTCATCGTTCTAACAGTTCATCGTTCTAACAGTTCATCGTTCTAACACATTATCGTTCTAACAGTTCATCGTTCTAACAGTTCATCGTTCTAACAGTTCATCGTTCTAACAGTTCATCGTTCTAAAGTTCATCGTTCTAACAGTTCATCGTTCTAACACATTATCGTTCTAACAGTTCATCGTTCTAACAGTTCATCGTTCTAACAGTTCATCGTTCTAACAGTTCATCGTTCTAACAGTTCATCGTTCTAACAGTTCATCGTTCTAACAGTTCATCGTTCTAACACATTATCGTTCTAACAGTTCATCGTTCTAACAGTTCATCGTTCTAACAGTTCATCGTTCTAACAGTTCATCGTTCTAACAGTTCATCGTTCTAACAGTTCATCGTTCTAACAATTATCGTTCTAACAGTTCATCGTTCTAACAGTTCATCGTTCTAACAGTTCATCGTTCTAACAGTTCATCGTTCCAACAGTTCATCGTTCTAACACATTATCGATCTAACAGTTCATCGTTCTAACAGTTCATCGTTCTAACAGTTCATCGTTCTAACAGTTCATCGTTCTAACACATTATCGTTCTAACAGTTCATCGTTCTAACAGTTCATCGTTCTAACAGTTCATCGTTCTAAAAGTTCATCGTTCTAACAGTTTATCGTTCTAACAGTTCATCGTTCTAACAGTTCATCGTTCTAACAGTTCATCGTTCTAACAGTTCATCCTTCTAACAGTTCATCGTTCTAAAGTTCATCGTTCTAAAGTTCATCGTTCTAACAGTTCATTCGTTCTAAAAGTTCATCGTTCTAACAGTTCATCGTTCTAACACATTATCGTTCTAACAGTTCATCGTTCTAACAAGTTCATCGTTCTAACAGTTCACGTTCTAACAGTTCATCGTTCTAACAGTTCATCGTTCTAAACATTATCGTTCTAACAGTTCATCGTTCTAACAGTTCATCGTTCTAACAGTTCATCGTTCTAACAGTTCATCGTTCTAAAAGTTCATCGTTCTAACAGTTCATCGTTCTAACACATTATCGTTCTAACAGTTCATCGTTCTAACAGTTCATCGTTCTAACAGTTCATCGTTCTAACAGTTCATCGTTCTAACAGTTCATCGTTCTAACAGTTATCGTTCTAACAGTTCATCGTTCTAACAGTTCATCGTTCTAACAGTTCATCGTTCTAACAGTTCATCGTTCTAACAGTTCATCGTTCTAACAGTTCATCGTTCTAACAGTTCATCGTTCTAACACATTATCGTTCTAACAGTTCATCGTTCTAACAGTTCATCGTTCTAACAGTTCATCGTTCTAACAGTTCATCGTTCTAACAGTTCATCGTTCTAAAAAGTTCAAATTCGTTCTAACACTTATCGTTCTAACAGTTCATCGTTCTAACAGTTCATCGTTCTAACAGTTCATCGTTCTAACAGTTCATCGTTCTAACAGTTCATCGTTCTAACACATTATCGTTCTAACAGTTCATCGTTCTAACAGTTCATCGTTCTAACAGTTCATCGTTCTAAAAGTTCATCGTTCTAACAGTTTATCGTTCTAACAGTTCATCGTTCTAACAGTTCATCGTTCTAACAGTTCATCGTTCTAACAGTTTATCGTTCTAACAGTTCATCGTTCTAACAGTTCATCGTTCTAACACATTATCGTTCTAACAGTTCATCGTTCTAACAGTTCATCGTTCTAACACATTATCGTTCTAACAGTTCATCGTTCTAACAGTTCATCGTTCTAACAGTTCATCGTTCTAACAGTTCATCGTTCTAAAAGTTCATCGTTCTAACAGTTTATCGTTCTAACAGTTCATCGTTCTAACAGTTCATCGTTCTAACAGTTCATCGTTCTAACAGTTCATCGTTCTAACAGTTCATCGTTCTAACAGTTCATCGTTCTAACAGTTCATCGTTCTAACAGTTCATCGTTTTAACAGTTTATCGTTCTAACAGTTCATCGTTCTAACAATTCATCGTTCTAGCAGTTCATCGTTCTAACAGTTTATCGTTCTAACTGTTCACCGTTCTAACACTTTATAGTTCTAACAGTTCATCGTTCTAACAGTTTATCGTTCTAACAGTTTATCTTTGTAGCAGTTTATCGTTTCAGCAGTTTATCATTCTAACAGTTCATCGTTCTAACAGTTCATCGTTCTAACAGTTTATCGTTCTAGCAGTTGATCATTCTAACAGTTTATCGTTCTAACAGTTCATCGTTCTAACAGTTCATCGTTCTAACAGTTCATCGTTCTAACACTTTATCGTTCTAACACTTTATCGTTCTAACAGTTCATCGTTCTAACAGTTTATCGTTCTAACAGTTTATCTTTGTAGCAGTTTATCGTTCCAGCAGTTTATCATTCTAACAGTTCATCGTTCTAACAGTTCATCGTTCTAACAGTTTATCGTTCTAGCAGTTGAACATTCTAACAGTTTATCGTTCTAACAGTTCATCGTTCTAACAGTTCATCGTTCTAACAGTTCATCGTTCTAACACTATTTTAAATACGTTCTAACACTTTATCGTTCTAACAGTTCATCGTTCTAACACTTTATCGTTCTAACACTTTATCGTTCTAACAGTTCATCGTTCTAACACTTTATCGTTCTAACACTTTATCGTTCTAACACTTTATCGTTCTAACACTTTATCGTTCTAACAGTTAATCGTTCTAACACTTTATCGTTCTAACACTTTATCGTTCTAACAGTTCATCATTCTAACAGTTCATCGTTCTAACAGTTCAATCGTTCTAACAGTTCATCGTTCTAACAGTTTATCGTTCTAACAGTTCATCGTTCTAACAGTTCATCGTTCTAACAGTTCATCGTTCTAACACTTTAATTATATCGTTCTTTAACACTTTATCGTTCTAAACAGTTCATCGTTCTAACAGTTTATCGTTCTAACAGTTTATCGTTCTAACACTTTATCGTTCTAACAGTTCATCGTTCTAACACTTTATCGTTCTAACACTTTATCGTTCTAACACTTTATCGTTCTAACACTTTATCGTTCTAACACTTTATCGTTCTAACACTTCTTCGTTCTAACAGTTCATCGTTCTAACACTTTACCGTTCTAACACTTTATCGTTCTAACACTTTATCGTTCTAACAGTTCATCGTTCTAATGCTTTATTGTTCTAACACTTTATCGTTCTAACAGTTCATCATTCTAACAGTTAATCGTTCTAACAGTTCTAGCAGTTCATCGTTCTAACAGTTCATCGTTCTCACAGTTCTAACAGTTTATCTTTCTAACAGTTCTAACAGTTTATCGATCTAACAGTTTATCGTTCTAACAGTTCATTGTTATAACAGTTCATCGTTCTAACAGTTTATCGATCTAACAGTTTATCGTTCTAACAATTCATTGTTCTAACAGTTCATCGTTCTAACAGTTTATCGTTCTAACACTTTATCGTTCTAACAGTTCATCATTCTAACAGTTCATTGTTCTAACAGTTCATCGTTCTCACAGTTCTAACAGTTTATCTTTCTAACAGTTCTAACAGTTTATCGTTCTAACACTTTATCGTTCTAACAGTTCATCGTTCTAACAGTTTATCGTTCTAACAGTTCATCGTTCTAACACT